TCTGCTTCATACTGACACGGTGCCCTGGACCTCCCCGTCAATATCTCTACGAGCGAACTTTCATTGAGCACTTACAATTCTACGTGTAGCCTATCTTTTCAAATCCTCTCGGCCACCCAGTGAGATAGACAGGAGCTGTTGGCAGTCCATTCTATAAAGACACTGAGACACAGAGGAATTAAGGAAAGCCTTTGAGGTTACCAGCTGGGAAGTGTCTGCCATCTGTGCCCCTGTGGATGGTGGGCACCGCAGTTGCCTGATGTTCCCATCACAGGTTGGCACGTAATATGCCCCCCTCTCTCTCTCATTATAGAGCTACAGGAACCTCAATGTGAGACTCATTCCACTGCTCATGGGACTCTGGGGTTTACCACTCAAACTCGGAGAGTTTACACTACCCCCTTGCAGCTGCCCGTGTCAAAGCATTTGCTGTGAGAACAGGGCTACCCAATCTAGGGCAGCCCGAGCCCCCAGAGGCTGGAGCCAGACCATGCCCTCTGCCCGCACTCCCCCAGAACCTCGCCTGCTGGGCCGCATGGGAAGAGGAACCTGCAGGTCGGCAGGGAGCCCACGTTGTTCTGCGTGGCTGCCGCTCCCGGGGCAGCCAGGGCGGGGATGTGCGCAGGTGCCCATGTAGGGCCACAAGTCGTTTCAGTACTTATCTCCGAAACACTCATCCCACGCTCGTCACTAGTTAGGCTTGACTCCCAGAAAAAGAGAAACGGGAGGGAAAGACGGCCACTACCATTTATTCTCCCTTCGCCCTCTTCCTCTCCCCCCCACCCCCTTTCCCTCTGGCCGTGCCTTACCTTTGTGTCAGGTTTCTTTTTGTTGCTGCTGTTGTTTTCGCTCAATCCCTTCACCCAACCCCTCCAATCCCCTCCCTTCTGGGGGCTGTCAGTCTGCTCCCTGTATCGGTGAGGCTGTTTCTATTGTTTGTTAGCTTGCTTTGTTCATTAGATTCCAGACATGAGTGAGATCATGGTTGTGGTCTCTCTCTGACTGGCTTACTTCACTTAGCCTAATAATGACGCCATTTTTCCCATCTGTTTCCATCAACGGTTAGCTGCCATTCCCTCCAAGTGACTTTGGATTATTTGAAAATAAGCACTGTAGGTCTAACTCAGTTCAGGGTACTAGAAAAAAGAATCCACTGGGCAAATTGCCCCAGCGCTGCTGGGTGGGGAAGGCTCAGAGGCAGGCAGTGTAGCCAAGGCACCGAAGTACTCCCTTTGTCGGCGGGAAGAACTGACGGATGCTGGAGTGATCCGTGACTCCTTCTCACGCCAGAGGTGGCTTGAAGGAACCCAACTGTAAGCTGCTTGTTGAAGCTAAGCCTTAAAATATCCCCAAAGCCAAAGTATGTGTATTTACTAAATATACATTAAAAATGAGAACCAGAGGGCTTTCTCAATGCATAGAAACACACATACACACAGAGTAATAATGTATAAAAATATTCCCCCAAAATAGTATACACATGGCGAATATGACATAAAAACACTTTCAAAAACACTTTTATGTCACTGATAAAATCAGAAGAGATTTTGAAGCAATGAAATACTTGACTTAATACTCACCAGGTTTCCGATACTCTTGACAAACTTGGAACGTTTTTTCTTGGTAACTATCAAGTCTTCCCACATATGTGCACTTAAGGGACATTTGAGATCAGTTTCCAGAGAACATAAATGCTCCAGAGGAATAAGCAGGAGTTGAGGAGGGAGATCTTAATTTGCATATTTCCTGGCTTCCGTGCCTGAACTGTCTTGGGCATAATGTTGCCTGGATAAGGCGTTCAGTGTTTCGTGGGATATGACAAACGTTCCTTTTTTTGCCGGGGTCTCTAAAGCCTTTGTTCTTCGTGGCTGTGCCTTCTCGCTCTCATCGACCGAATTTACTAAGGAAGACAGCGATGCGGAGGCTTCCATGTGTGCGCTCAGGCCGTTTTTCATTTTCTCGCAACAGAATGCACCCTCTTACACCTGGGACAGTGCCCCGGGGACGGGAGGGGCCCTGGGCGACCCACCGGACAGGATGCGTGACTCGTGCAGGGCTCGTACTCATCCACCCGCCTCTCTCGCTGACCTTTGCTCCTCCCCCTGGAGTCCACAGGGTAACAATCTGTCACCAGAGGAGATGCTGGGCCTGAGTCACTGGTAAAGCTACCTCTTCCCTGATTTTGCACAGCCAGGAATATTAAAACCTCGCTATAAGGCGATAAGCGAAAGCTAAAATATTTAACCAGGAAAACCTGGATTGGTATCACTTCCAGGTCTATCAAATAACCAGGAAAAAAGCGATGCAGCTGCCTGACCTCCCTGGGCTCCAGCTGTGGGGGGCACATCTACCCCAGGCCCCGCTGTGCTGCAGCGCCAGCTGCTGTCCCCTCCTGCTAAAATCCTGCCGGGGCTGGTTCCACAGGCTGGCTGGGGCTTCCTGGAGAGCAGCAGCGAGGAGGCCAGGATTCTCCCAGGCAGCTGCAACCCGTTTCTTCAGGTTGATCCGGGGATACTGAGCTGGAAAAATGTGGGGCACATGGAGACCCCACTTCCTAAGGCTGCTGACCATTTCCTCAGCTCTCCTGCCCCTCCCTCAACTTCCTCCCCCCACCGCCCCCGCACACCCCACACCCCACACCCCTCCGAGGAGATCAGAGTTCTACCACCCACTCCTGGACTGAGAACAGGGACTGGATGGAGAACGGAACCCACTTCTACCGTGACCTGTCCAAACCCAGGGGCTTCACGGTGTTGGTAGAGCAGACACCAATCAGATCTCCTGATTCCTAGAGTGAAGTCTTTCCCCTGCTTCGCAGGCTCACGTCAGAACTACCATCCCTTCCATTATTGCTCCAGGCTCACGGGGTAGAAGACACACGCCCTCTGCCAGCAGAGTCCTTGTCTAACTCCTTACTGTGGAGGCCCAGTGCCCCACCCACTTTCCCAAGCCCGGGCTTGTTGTTGCGTCCGTGACTGAGAAAAAGGCGGGCGAGTGGTGTGGGGGCGGGTCGTGTTGTTCTGTAAACTTCTAACGTGTCTCACAGGTTGCGCACCTACTCAACACAGCCCATAAATTCTGCCCCCCATCTCGCAGGCCACCTACCTGCTCATTCGCTCTCCTGGCTTAACCTACCTTCTGCGTTTCATCCATTCTGCTTGTTTTTCCTGGTGCCTGTAGTAGCATTGAATATTCTCAAGTCCTACAGCAAACACATAAAGAGAGAAACCTAGGGGGAAAATAACATTTAAAAAAAAAACAGAGAAAATGTCTGATTATAGTGGCAGGAGGAACGGAAACCAAAACAGAGAGAGGCTGAGTCACAGTAATGGTGGCGTTTTGAGCAGAAAGAGGTGGCTGGTTCCCACTAAGGGGTGACAATGAAGTACCAGCCCCCCGAATCACAGGGCCTTCAGTATTGAAAACCCATGTCCCCTTCAGGTGAACCTCAAAACCCCCCAAGTTCTTCTATAATGCTGTTTTAAAATTAGAAATAAATTAGAGGTATGTCTAAGGGCAAATCACGTCAAAGCAATCATTTGCATATCACTGAATGCACTTGTTCAAAGATCTTATTTATTTTTAGAGAGGGGGAGGGGAGGGAGAAAGAAAGGGAGAGAAACATCCATGGGTGGTTGCCTCTCACACACCCTCTACGGGGGACCTAGCCTGCAACCCAGGCATGTGTCCTGACTGGGAATCAAACCGGTGACCCTTTGGTTTGTAGGTCAGCACTCAATCCACTGAGCCACACCAGCCAGGGCTGGATGCATTTTTTTCCAAAGGGCTTCAGGCCCTCCCTCCTGTGGGCTTCTCTCCCACGAGGGTCCTCCCCTGTCTCCTAAAGAGAATCTGGAATCTGTGTGTCTGGAGGCGGTTAGGGAAGGAAGAGCCACACTTCTGTCTCATTAACTAATTGAAAATGTATCTTTTTTCAATTTTATTTTTCAATTAAAGTTGAATATCAGAGGATCACATTGTAAAGTGCATAAATGAAAGTGCATCTTTATTGTTTTCTCTGATTACCAAGTAGTACATTTATTATAACATTTCAACATTAAGTCACGATGTAGATTTCATCCATGCTGTAGCGTGTGCCAGCATTTTCTTCTTCCTGAAGGCTGAGTAGTATTCTGTTGTGTGTACACATTTTGTTTCTTGACACTCAAATCTAATGGGGCATTTCTGTGCTAAATCCGGCAACTCTGTTCTGAAAACAGCCATCTAGATCAGCTTTTTGTAGAAATTAGAGCAGAAGAGAACTCATCCCGGAGGACATTTATCAAAGAAACAATAAGGGGACAGAGCTGGAAGCATCGTCTTCTCTGACGGGGCACGAGCCGTGGCAATGAGGTTCAGTGAACCCTAACTCTGTCCACACCCTGTGTCGGCCGTTCTTGGGCTGCGGCCTGTGCAGGAGCTGCAGGGCGTCTGTGGGCCCTTTGAACTCCCAGGCCACGTTGCATGCACGTGTATCTCGTGGGGAAAGGAACCATAATTAGATTCTCAAAGGTGTCTGACACCCTCAAGGGGTGCAGGAGGTGCCCCTTATTGGCTGAGGCCAGAGTTTTGAACTCAAGAAGGCATTTTTGCTGGGGGCTCAGGCAGTACTACTTTTCAGGCAATCCATTTCCTGACTGTCTAAACTCACATACGGAGAAACAGCTCAGCAAACGTGGAAGAGTAGGAAGTTGGCCCATCTCCTGAAACAGCCCTTCCCAGTGAGGATGCGTTTGGGCTGGCATGCGCTCTGCCTCTTCCACAGACGCCACGTGGGAACCAGGTCCTCAGGGGTCCTGGTCTGTGTGAATTTTCCGACAATGGTTTAAGTTAAGAGGCATATGCTTTAGATGCCAGAGCCCCTTAAACAAAGAGAGTAAGAAAGAGAAGAGAGAGAGAGTAAGAGACAGACAAAGAGCAATGCCTAGGCAATGAATACTCTTACTACCTGTGGCAAACAAGTGACCGTTCTGATCATCGCCACTTTATTTTTTCTCTAGAAATCCTTCTTCGATCTGCCAGCGGCCCTTACCGACGAGCTCGACTGGCCGCAGCTCTCTGGCGCCACGGGATTCCTCAACTCCACCAGCGGGTACGTACACTTCCAAACCCTCATTGATTTCAGTAAATCGATGTAAAACTAGAGCAGAAGACGGGGTTTGCCCCCAGGACGTTGAGACGTGAGCTGTTAGGAATTTCTTCCAGAACATGAGTAACACACAACGAACGCACCCCCGACACAGCCCACCACGTGGCAGACGGAATGCACATTATACTTGATCAGGGCGGGTAGGTGGGGAGCTTCCCACTGTGGGGGGTGCTCTGGAGTCGCCCTCTGACGGAAAATACTCAAAACGTCACCAATTTTCTCTGATTCGAGGGACAAAGACATTTACTTGATTATTTACCCTCAGAAATTAATATTTATAAAACCAAGAGGCGAGTCTCAAGGCCCTGGAATCATCCTGGTGTGAACGTTCTAGACCTGAGGGAGGGGCGGCGCCTGGGACCCCAAGTGACATGCGGCCCGATGTGCTCTGTGTGATGATGGGGTGTGGTCTCGGGGCCCGCAAACAGCCGTTCCTCACGTGAGCACCCTATCTGTTATTTAATGGAGGGCACTGCCTACCGTGAATAATTTACCTGATGCTATCTTCACTCCTTTCTTTCAAAAACAGTTAAATACTTGCTACCTAATCAGACACATAGGCTATACATGTTTTAAAGTTAAATAAGGCTTGTCCCATCTCTGCAGTCAAACCACATTCAAGTAGGACAGAGGAGATAAATGTGTAAACAATGCTACTATGAGATAAATGCGCCAAAAGACAGCGCTCAGCCCCAGAGCCACGGGGTTCACAGGCGAAAGCATTCACAGAAAGACCATCAGCCTCCTCCTTTTGGTTGTGTTAGGTGAGGGGCCCGGACCCTCAAGGATTTAGGAGAGCACGGTGAGAAAAGAGAGCAGAGAGAGAGAGAGAGAAGAAACCAGAAAAGGTAACCAACCCTCAGGAAATCGCATTCACATTTATGCAGAAATCAGCTGCGCATAGAGGGCACGCAGAGGAGATGTGTTTTCCAGACTGGGTGTAGGTTTTCGAGTCTAATCAGGTAAGAAACTAGGCTGCTGCTTGTCATTCGTGCAATAACACTAGTGGTCCCCATGGCACTGATGGCGAGGAGCGAGCTCCTCGCGGCATTCGCAGCGTGCTGCGCGTCACTGATTGACTGAGTGTCACGTGGAGAGCGGTGTCCCCTCTCATCCCTCCGTGAGGTCGGTGGCATAGCTTCCTGCTTTTCTCGGCTGAGGAATCCGAGGTTGGAGCAGACGAGCTAAGAAACTTGGCTGAGGTGGCACACGCGTAAGCATAGGCTGCGTCCCCATGGAACCCGGCATCATGTCAGACCAGACAGTAATGGGGTGAGCCAGGGGCCTCCGAGCCCGCAGCGCGCACTGGTCCGGCGCGTTTTCATTCTGCCTGCGGAGCGCGGCTCCCTGCAGCCAGCGTCCCTCCGTTGGAGAGCGTGGCCATGGGGCGGAGGAATGACTGAGCACCCGAGAGGCCCTCCCCAGGCGGGGACAAGTGGCATGTGTTGGTTCAGACGTCCATCGTGCGTGACCCCTTCCTAAGGTCCCCACACTCCCAGTGGTCTGGGGACCTCAGAGTCCCACCCTCGGCCCATCTGTCCTGACCTGCCATTGTCATGGTCACCTGCATCACATCCAGAGACAGCCCGGTAAAAGCGGCCTTCTGGAAGAGAGAGACTCTTTAGTCTCCCCCGTCAACATTCTGATTGAGAAAATAATATGAAAGTGCCCTCCGCCCAGCCCAGCTCTGTATCAAAGACCCGGGAGCTTCCCTCCATCAAGGCTTTATGACCATACACCATCGTTAAGAATGAGAGATGGTCAAGTTTACTGTATTTTCAACGGCGTTTACATTTATATATGAACCCTCCAAAGTTCAACCACCTTTCTGCCTAAAGCCTCACGAGTTGCCGTGGGGGTGTTTAAAGTTACCTGCCAAGCCATTTAAACCTGCACTGGAGTCACAGGAAGAGCGCCAGTGAAATCCATCCCCCGGGCCCAGCCACACCAGTGAACACTGGGTTCCTCGTCCCTCCCCCTGCAGCGCACACCGAGCAACAGTTGCCCCGCATCTCAGCTTAATTTTCCTCAAAATCCTGCGCAAGCTTAGCTCCTGCTCCCAGCAGCCTCTGTTCAGTCGACTTTAGCTTTGTCTCGGGTGGCAGGGAGACCCAGACTCCCTCTTCCTTTCTGCGTCTGTTCTGTCCTCAGACCAGGGGGTCCCTCCCTTCTCGAGATGAAACCCCGCCAGCCCTCCAGGCCTGCCCCAGCTCCCACGTCCATCCTATGGGAGCCCAGCAGGCAGACGGATCTCCCTTAGAGGAAGGGCAGTGGGCACGAACGGGGAAGGAATAGTGGCCAGCCTCCTGACACGTTGGGTTTCTAAGTCTCTGTAGAATGGAGGGTATTCTCTATTCTCTATTCTATAGAGAGTTCCGTAGAGAATGCCGTGGCCTCTCTATGAAGAGAGGTTCTGACATCAGCTCACAAAGGACGTGACCATCTAGGTGGCTCGTGTGAATGTCCCCTCCGCTCTGAGTCAGTCTGTGCTGCCTCAGGGCCTTCCTCACGTGTTAGGACCTGTGTCACTATTCACAGACGACTCACAGCCTGCCCGTGCCACTGGCTCAGCGTGGACTCCAGCACCGTCCTCATCCGATGTGTTTCTAAGAAGGTGCCCAGCCCAGCTGGCCCCTCGGAGGGGCCTGCAGGGGCCTTTCTCTCGGGGTGTCTGTGGGGCCCCCCGGGATCCAGTTCTCCCACCCCAAGTGCTTTTCGCCACCTGCGTCTGGGGACTGTGCCCGTGTTCTGTGCCGCTCGGCTGCAGTGGATGACTGTATTCAGCTCTTTCTGACAGACATCCTCAGATGTCTGGCATCTGAGTGGCAGTGGCCCCCCCATAGCAGCACGACACCCCCATAAACCACTGTCGGTGTGCCCCTCAGGGCAGCAGTTCCTGTTCAACTATCTCACACACTCTCATGCAAATTTTACCTTCAGGTAATGGATGCTAGGCCCATCTCCTTCTTCAAAGAACAAAGAGTTCTAAACTGGGTAAAAAAGTCTGAAAGGGAGATTAGCATACAATGGGAGTTCTCCTCTGGTGGGATCAGGGGAAAGGAAACAGCATGGACCTTCTCAGAAGCAGCATCTGCGGGAAGTGTGGGCCCCTCCACGGGCACTTGAAGCGCATGTCCCTGTGAGTTCAAATGCTGGGTAACGTGAGGTAGAACTTGCCGCTTTCTCTCGTCGACGGGACTTCCAGAAAGTGCGTGCTGTTATCTGAGTCAGCCGCAGGCTTTCGGTATCACCGATGTTCTTTGGAAAATGGACCTTTGGAAGATGAAAGGTGAAGTCTGGTAGAGGAAAGGGCTGCTTTCCTTTCTTTCCTCTGTGATACCCACCCCTCCTCAAAACGGGGTATCTGCTTATGAGATGCGCGCCACATCGTTGACATTGCACGCATGCATGAAAAGATAAATATAACCTCTCTGTTTTATGCCCTTTGACACTTTAACAAAGTCTGTTCTCTCGACTCTGTGGTTTCAGAAAATTCAAAAAGCAATAACTCTTAAAATCATGTTTCTGCTCTGCTCCCAGTGTGATTCAGAAAGTAATTGAGTTCGTCCAAGACAAAATAACTAAACACATACCTGTGTGAGGCCAGTAGCTTGGGGGCTGGAACCCTGGCATTAGGAAGGAAAATTATAGGTGAAAAGAAAAAAAAATATGTTTTAAGATTAAAAATAGCACTTCATGTTCAGATCACCTTGAATAGCAATTACGTAACAGGAAAATCTTGTTTAGGTTAAAGGAGCTAAGGCCCAGTAGAAGGATGAGACACAGTCATACCCAAACCTCAGGAAGGAAGGATGTCGTGTTTAAAAGCAGCGTCTACCACCCCCCGTGAGTTGGTGCGGTGGATTGGGAGGTAGACTGTGTTCACAGGCACAGTGGCCTCAGACAGGAAGGACATTTAGCGTCCCCAGAGCTCATTGACGTGGTGAAGTTGAGTTGCACCTGGGGATCTCTTACGTTCTCGCCAATGTTCAAGTTCAGCAGTTACAGGACAACCTAACGTTCAAGTCCACATCCTGCTTTATGGTGCTGCTAGATTTAGAAGCATAGGAGGAAACTCTTGGCGGGGAGAGATCTTGCTTGTCCCCAGCAAATGGGTTTCTCCCCGACCCTTAACTAGTTGTCCCTTGAGACAAGACATGGCTAATGTTATGGGCCAGAGATGGAGACGTTCTAGGAACCATGTTTCTTCAGGGCCAGAGTCACTGTGCTATAATGAGCTCATGCCTAGTGAGCCTTGCTTTGTGCGGCCAGCCGTCAGCTACAGCAGTGCTCCGGTGTTGCCTGTTATGTGTGCTGTTTCTCCCGAGCGAACCCCAGAGAGGGGGATGGGGTGACTCCGAATCCTCCACAAGAGAACCACCTGGCCCCAACCACATCTAACTGAGCATTTGTTGGTGGCCAAATCCCCTTTTTCTGAAAGTGGGGCCAAGAGTTGGTCCGGTCGGGGCAGCTCTGCAGGCTGGGGCTAAAGGATAGAGAGGATGAAGCTGGAGAGCAGAGGGGGCTGGGAGAAAAAAACAGGGCAAAGCTCAGAGATTAAAGAAGGAAAAGGAAAAAGAGAGGGAGGGAGGGAGGGAGGGGAGGGAGGGAGGGAGGAAGAAAGGAAGGGAGGGAGGGGGGAGGAAGGAAGGAAGGAAGGAAGGAAGGAAGCTGATGTTACCCAGAAGAAGCCAGGAAAGCCAAAACAGCCAAAAGCAACGACCAAAGTGACCACATCCAGCTGCAGAGAGTTGAGGGCAAACCAGTGAGCCCACCTAAATGGCTGTAAACTAGATGGAATTGTCTAGAGCACATTTTGCTCCTGCTACCCCTGGATTAAATTGGCTATTTTGGGCCAGAAACATAGCAAATGCTTAGAACGAAACAGACAAAGCCAGTGTTAGAAGCGGCACAGCCCCGCTGTTCAAGGACCTTTAAACACA